CTTCAGCATCATCACAAACATGCCTCACTGGTTACTTCATGTTTCATTGTTTAGTGTGTGGTCCTAGTGAGGTTCAACTTCAACATCATCACAAACATGCCTCACTGGTTACTTCATGTTTCATTTGTTAGTGAACTCTTCTATTGGCTGCATCCACCATTGGGGTTTGTCAGGACAGACCTTCAGGCAGACGGTCTGCACTCTGTGTGGTCAGTGCTGTGACAAAGGACAGAAATGTCCTTACAATGGACTCGGAGGACAATATCAGCATCAGTGTGGCTGCAACACCAATGTCACAGGCTGCAAAGACTGTGGAATTTGTCAGAATTGTGCTGATCAGCTTTGGGTAAGTTGTCAGCTTTGTATAGGTTGTCTTTGATGATGATTATATTTGAAGATTCTGGGTTAGGTTTTAGACTTTCATTTCAATAAGTGCAGATGTTTCAGAGATCCATGAGGGTTGTTACTTGTGTCAATGGAAATGTCAGTGAAAGTAAAGGCAGCCAGTGTAATATTGATCACACCACCCTTCTTCTTCTTTTAATCCCTGCCATGTTGTGTTGGTAATCATGTCTGTTTACAACCTTCTGTCTCATGTACTTTCAGTCACTTCTGATGCAGATGATCTTCCATGCCATGATGTCAAACTGTCCATCATCTTCTTTTTCACTCTGCCTCTGCATCTTTTCCCCTCTAACCTTCCCACCATCACGATGTGCACCAGTTTTTTTCTTCTTCGCATGATGACATGACCAATGAATTTAGACTGTCTCACTCTGTTCATATGTCGGTTTCTTTCAACACATCTTCATTACTCTTTGTGTCTGTCCTGAGTATTCTCATCAGTCATCTATAAAAACTCATCTCCAGTGCTCCCAGATAAATCTCACTAATCGTCCAGTTGTCCATGATACACTTATGTATATCAGGAATGCTAAATGGAGTTTTAGACATTATGGAGAATGGCGCTGCGAGGAGTTACCAGGGAATCTGGCCGATGCTCAGCACTCAGGGAAAGGATGAGACGGATATACAATCAGACGGTTACTGGTACCATCGGAATTGGAACTCTTCGCTTGCTGCTGAAGATGGGGACTGAGCACTTATGGGAGTGTCCCGAGTGCTGGGATGTTGATTTTTAATTCAACATTCAACATAGACATTATGGGTGTAGCATCATATAACAGCTGTGCCAGTGAAACTAAAAGAACCATTTACATACATTTTTACTTAACAGTCAGAGGAAGCTATAAGTACTGCATTACTTTTAAGTCTTACTGTTATTTGTATAACAGCAACACAGCTATTATAACCTGTCACTCACACTCCCTTAGCAGTATTGTTGTTTTATTATTTGTAAATTGTGTGATTGCTGTGTATTAAATTGAAAAAAAAAAAAAAACCATTTACATATTTCTGCCTGGCTTCCATTCCTATAGACAGATGTTGACAACAACATGGACATATTAAAAAGAGTAATTATGGCAGTTGGTTTAAAAAAATAAAAAAAACTATACAAATACTATAAAAAAAATTTTTTTTTAGCAAGAAAGAGCTACAATTTTGAGAGTATGTGTCCTCCCTGTAGCAACATAACAGATGTGAGTTGTGGACTATCCCACAGTCATTAAGGAAGAAAACAGGGGCTTTTGAGCTGGAATGCTATAGAAAGATTCTCAGAGTACCCTGGACAAAGAAGAAAAGACATACTTGCATCCTAACTGGTAGTATGGTAGTCTGGTAGTCTTAGTTTCAGCTTCATAGCAAACGGGTCACCCATCTTTGCTCCGCTCCTGTGCCAACGAAAAACACACAAAATGTTTATCACAATCCCTTGTGGAAAGATTGACAGACTGCTGTCTCAGCATATCTAGAAATCACATGCATTAAAGCATATGGTAGGCATCCAAAGTGCTAACATAAACAGTCCGACATTAGAAATGCAGTTCATCATTGATGGTACCAGAAGTCACCAACAGATCAGCAGTTGCCCACACGGTCAATTTTAATCACATACGGGCACCACCAACATTGCAACAACAGGCATCGCGCCATTTTCTGAATTTACAATTCACACCACCAAGTTGGTTACCGTTGAAAAAACTTTCCAAATGAAATCCGCAGCTCACAGTGTCACACCATGCATTTAACTCAGAAGCTGGGCGACGAAACTATATCCAGTCTACAAATGGAGCAAAAATGCAACGGCCACCATCTGGCAGAAGCAAAAAATTTGCCTTGGCTCCAAACAGTGCCCCTGCCTAGCTTCCATTTTGACCATTTTGATCCTAAATGATCTGAACATCAAGGAAGATTGGTTTTTAAACAGCTTCTTGTCTTGATAGTTGAAATATTTTGGTCATATCAAGCGCCATGGTGGATTGAAAAAAAAAAAAATAACAGATGGTATGGTACCAAGAAGGAGTGGCAGGGGCCGATCAACATGAAGATGAACACAGGATACAAGTGATTCCTTGAGTAGGAAAGTGCACGGGGTGGGAAAGCGGGTGGGAGATTGAGTTTCTTTCAGTCATGCTGTGATGAGAGCAATGTTCTGCAAAGGACCTGCTACATGATGATTACTATCTTTTTATTTACTTACTTTTCTTGGTTCTTTAAATATATGTATTTATTTTCACCCAGACTATTCGTTCCTATTTGAGACCAAACCTTGAGGTTGCCAGCTACAATAAGACGAAAACCAATCCAGTCATTCCTCTGAATTCTACAACATATGATGAGTTAGAGTTTACAAATCTTGGGGCTGTCCAGGTGCCTGTATGCTTGAAAATGTAAGATGGCCTCTTTAAAAAAAAATGTAAACTAAACCACTAATTATGTAATTAATTAACAAGTTCTCAGTACTAGTAAAGGTATACAAATTGAAATAAGTGTAGCTTTAGTCTGGGACAAGAATCAGTCTTGTCTTGTCTTGTCTTGTCCACAATTGCCTCACAGCGTAGTGGGGAGTCGCAGTTTTCTATCCTGGGTCAGGTGTGTTGCACGTGTTGTTGTTAGTCCGTGTTGCCTCAGGATCTCTGATATATTGTCTATCCATCGTACTCTCGGTCTGCCTCTTGCGACAAGAATCATTATTAAACTTATTTCCAGACTGCTACTTGACACCCTTTTGTTGTTTGTTCTTTGCCACATTTCCATTCTTTCCAGGTGATAGTATTATATTCTGCTCTAGAGAGGCGTTGGCTCTGTGGCTGTCAGTGCGAACGCTTCGTAATGCCGGGATGCCGGGTTCGATCCCAGCTGCGGGCCACGCGCCTTGCATTGGTTTCGACAGTGGTATCAAGAAAGCCGACTGTCCAGAAAGCAATGGCAAACTACTGGACATAAATTTGCCTAGAGAAACCACACAACAGCCAGAGGCTGTTAGGGTTGATTCTGCAATGTCCTGTAAATGATACGCAACTAACCTAGAGAGGCATGGCGAATGTGACTAGCAAAACCTGCCCACATTAGGACAAATCTTCCACAATTAGAGCATGGAATTTCAGGACCGTTGTTGCCATCACATAAATTTAGTGTGTTTCTTCTCTGATGCATTGCTGTCAATTTCAGTGTAATAATAATTTTTTTCCCGTATTCTCATCCCCTTTCTTATTTCACCCTCTCCACACAACATGATCCTTGGCCTTTTGTTTCCACGAATCTACTTCCCCTTGAAGAATACAGGATATACATTGATTTACAGTCACAATAGAACTATACTGTTGAAAAAAGAACATGGGTAGTTATCCGTTGCCATGTCTTTATTAGTATGCCTAAAACTGTGGATGGCCCAGATGCATAAGAACAGTCAGTTGACTGGCATTAACCCTAAGATATACTTGTTTCTGGTTTGAAAATTTTAACTCATTAGTTTACAAAGATTTTGAATGTCAAAATTGTGACATAATTATGTTCCTTTCAATAGCTATGTAATGTTGTTGTTGTTTTTATTATTTTTGAGATGTATTGTATATTAGTCATGAAATGTTAGCAGAAACTATCACTCTGTGGCACATGAAACAATCTAGCAGTCGTTCTTGGAATGATTATAGCTACAGTTAGAGCTTTATACCTGAGATTCTCTAAGGAAATCTCATCTGACAGGAATAAATTTTATTTTTGTGCCAGGTCCCTATGGGGTAAGAGCACATGAACAAGCTGGTTGGCTTTTTGGCAGGGCCAAGGTAGACACAGGGAAAGCAATGGACTCGGCCACTGCTCTCAAAAAGACAAGACAAGAAGATGGTTCAGGAACAACAGTGAATCTGCAACCTTGAAAACATAATGTCAAAAGTGATGTTGCCAGACCAGACATAAATGAACACCATACAGGTAGCCAAAGAAGATTAGTGAACCAACACAGAACTGGTCTTATCAGTCACCACACACTCAGGGAAATAACTTAAGATGGGATCCAAGCGCTTATGACATGTCCAGTTTGCAGTGTAGATGACCATTCGATTAACTAACTAACCAAAGAATAATGATAATTATCATCTGTAATGTGACATTTTTATTTTTATTGCATAAGTAACGAGTAAAGATCCCTTTCCACGCCTTTAGGCGTATCAGGCATATGGGAAGAGCGCCCATATTTTTACAGATCATCAGCAATCTGTGGGTAATGTGGTCAGCATTACGCCGGCTGTCTTTACTTTCCCAGGACAGCCCATCCTGGTACCCACTTTAGGCTGGGTCGACCTGCGACACCCCGTACCATGATAAAAATCTATGCAGCCAGCAGTGGGTTTCGATTGCGGTACGCTGGATTACGTGTCGGGACTCGCAACGCCTAAGCCACGGACGCTGCATTTTTAATTGCATGCTTGTTTTTAATTATGAACCAGGAGCACAGGTCAGTATTCTGCTTCAGCAGCAATGGATTACTCAGGTTCTATTGTGAAAATGTTTCCTGGTATGGCTACAGTGTTCCCCAGTCAACAGTCCCTGCAAGAGCACATGGGGACACTAAACTCTTCTGTAAGTTGGGGTTCATATTCTGTTGTTGTTGTTATTATTGTTGTTGTTGTTGTTGTTGTTCAGTCACTCTATTAGGGTTTCATTTAGTATTCTCCCTATGTTAAATGGATTGTTCCTAGTGAAGTAGAGTGTGTAAGTGAGTTGGTGAGATGGAGAGAACATGTGTTTTTGTGTATGTGAGAGAGAAGAGAGATAGAGAGAGAGAGAGAGAGAGAGAGAGAGAGAGAGAGAGAGAGAGAGAGAGAAACAGAGGAAGAGGGAGTGGAAAGAGAGTTTGACAAAAATAGACAAAGAAAGCATTGAATATAGAAAACCACACTTCTTCTTCTTCTTCACGTTCACCGGCTGTAAACTCTAGCCAAAAGTTCTAGTTGTTTGTCCGCTTCTGGACCGTAGTCCTTTCCAGATACTGAGTGTTGCGTGCACATCTGTTTCACAGGTCTGACTTATTTGCATGCAGACTGTTGGTTCCTTGCCTCTCAGGCAGATGTACTCTGACTTCGAAGGAAGCTTCCAGTTAGTCTACTCTTATGACATGCTTTTAAGCACCCCTGAACCCACATGGGGAGGAACATCACATTTGAAAGTGTAGACAAATGGAAATAGATAATTCTACATACTGTTACAGGATTCACAAACCAAATTTACACCTTTGGAAATGTAACTCCTTCTTGTGCAAATCAAATTTATCTTTTTTCAAATGAAAAAAAAAGGAAATCTAGAGGTATTGTTGGAAAACAATAGACCCACTACCTCCCTAACAAGCATATCAACTAATTAGGAGTGTCTTTTGAAGTCAGAGTGAATCTGCCTGAGAGGCAAGGAACCAGTAGTCTGCATACAAGTAAGCCAGATCTGTAAAATAAATGTGCATCATCATCATCATCAGGTGCCTTGCCGACTGGCGTGAGCGATCATGCCTCTCCATAATCTGCGATCTCCTGCAGCATGTATCAGTTCGTGTGCCGACACATCTCTATGCCATGCAACAAGACTGTCGAGCATCTTCTCTCGTTTTCTTCCTCTATCCCTTTTTCCACAGATCTTTCCAGTGGTCACAACATGTTCTATTTTCCCTCTTCTCATAACATGGCCGAAAAATGATGACTGTCTCCTTCTGATGTCTGTGATAAGTTGTCTTCGGGCTCCTGCCTCTTTCAAAACCTCTTGGTTGCTCTATTTGGCTGTCCAAGGTATTCTAAGCATTCTTCTGTAAAACAACATCTCTGAGGCCTGTAAAAATTGTTTGGCCTGCCTACCGATTGTCCAGGATTCACATCCATATGTTAAAACTGGATGTATGTAGCAAGCATGAATTCTTTTTCTAACTCTCAATGACAAGGATATATTGCACAAGATGTTTTTCATTTTATAAAATGCAGTTTTTATCTGTCCAATACTGTTTCTTATTTCAGTTATGCATCTTCCATCTGATGTTATCAATGTGCCCAGATACTTAAATTTCTGTACTTGTCCTAAAATAACATCATTGACTTTTATTACATATTTAGGAATAATTTGTTTCTTTGATACCACCATTACTTCTGTCTTCCCATTATTCAAACTGAGGCCCATTCTTCCACTTTCTAACACACAATGTCTATCATTTCCTGTAATTCTTTCTGACTTGTTGCTATCAAGACTGTGTCATCAGCATAACGTAAATTGTTTATATTGTGCCCACAACCACAATTCCGGGCATATCAATTAAAGATCTCATTATATATTCACTGTATATTGAAAACAAATCAGGTGAAAGTACACATCCTTGTCGTACGCCCCTCTTTATGCTTTGAAATGTACCTAAACAGTTGTTTATTCTTATAGCTGCTGTTTGCTGCCAATACATATTCTTTATTATTCGTAGATCTTTCCCATCAATGTTTAATTTTTCTAACAGTTTGATTACTTCTTTATGCTTCACACAGTCAAATGCTTTTGTATAGTCTATGAAGCATAAGTGCAAATCAGTCTTTACTTCTATAGCTCTTTCTGACAATCTCCTTAGGATGTAAATGGAATTGTTTATACCTTTTCCTTCTACAAATCCACATTTTTCAGCGCTGATTTCTGATCTAATTTTGTTTCTTATTATTCTCATAATTATTCTAAGTAAAATCTTAGTCGTGTGACTCATAAGACTTATTGTGTGATGGTCTTCACATTTTAAAGTGCCTGGTTTCTTTGGCAGAGCTATAATTATGGATTTAAAAGGTCATTTGGAATTTACCCACCATTATAAATATCATTTAAAAGTTTAGTTATTATTTCAATTCCAAAATTTCCCAGTGCTTCGATTTCTTCCAGTGAGATGTTGTCTGGCCCGGGTGCTTTTCCTTTCTTCATATGATGTATTGCATTCTCAACTTCTGCAGTCATTATTGGTGGACCATCATTGTTGGTCTGCAGTTCTACGTCTGGTCTATTATCATCATACAATTCCCCTATATACTCTGTCCATCTTTTAATTATATTACTATGTCCCATTAATAAGTCACCATCTTTTGATTTCAAACATCCAGTGCTGTTACGTGTCATCTTTCCTGTTAACATATTTATCTGTTGGTACATGGAATGTGAGTCTTTTCTGTGATTTTCCCCAATCTCTGTACACATTTGATTCAGCCAGGCTTCTTTAGCCACTTTGCATTTGTTCACTATTTCTTTTGTATTCTAGAGTATTCTTCTTTATCATTCTTTTTCTTCCTTCTTTCATCCATCAACTGCAGAATTTCGGTTGACATCGATTTCTTTTTTGCAGCTCTATGGGTTGTCTCTTTTGATGTCTGCTGAATTGACTCACGCAACATATCCCACTGTTCATCAATAGTCTGTATAATTTCCATTGCATTATACCGGTTTTGTACAGTGACATTGTACTGTTCCTTAATTTCTTTATCCGTTCTAAGAATTCCTAAATTTAACTTGATGTTCTGTGTTGTTTTTCTAATGTTCTTTAGTTTCATTCTAATTTTTCCTACAACTTGAACATGGTCACTAAAGCAGTCTGCCCCTGGTCTAGTTTTTGCTCCAACTAAGCTGCTCTGGAATCTTCTTGAAATTAAAATATAATCAATCTGATTGCGAACATTATCACCAGGACTTTTTCAAGTCCACAATCTTCGAGGATGTGCATACAAAATGTGCATACAAAACTCAAATTCTGGAACAAGACTAAAGTCCTGAAGTGGGTGAACCTCCAGAACATTCTGCCCGAGTTTACAGCTGGTGAATGCGAAGAAGCAGAAAAACATATTTATTTAACTGAAGGTCTTGGATTCAAATCCATATTTGGTGGATTTAGAAGAAAAAAACTGACTTTGATTTCCAGATTCCCTTATAGTGTGGAAGCTCAAATGGATCATCACAGTTCGAAGTGATGTGATTATCTATACAGATGGCTCTGTGTTGAGGGGAAGACAAAGTGCATGGGGTTTCATAGCAATAGCAAATGGATGTCGCTTGGTGCAGCAAAGCCTTGTATATGATATCACAATGTCTAGTTGGAGAAAGGAGGTAGAGGCAGTCTCTGCTGCCTTCTGCTGGCTTGAGGATCAGCTGTACACACGTGCCGTGATTGTAAATGACTCACAGAGCATGTTGAGAAAGGTGAAAACCGGCATGCTTCGTGTAGACTAGCAAGCATCACTTCAGAAGTCCCGGGTAGTTAGGATACTTTGGATATTTTCTCCAGGTATGCCGATGTGTTGGGAATTGAGCAGGGTTGATAGACTGGCTGTCTCTGCACCACTTGGTGTTGAATTGAAGTATGACAAGTTAGATATTGTGAGGGCTTTATGGGAGCAAGTGAACAGTGCGAAGGCTGAGATAGAATTACACTGCAAGGAGTTACCAGGGTATCTGGCCGACGCTCAACACTCATGGGAAGAACGAGACGGATATACAATCAGACGGTTACTAGTACCATCGGAATTGGAACTCTGTGCATACTGCTGAAGAAGGGGACTGAGCACTTATGGGAGTGTCCAGAGTGCTGTGATGTCAATTCTTAATTCAACATTCAAAATTCAACAGGTTTGGAGAGAGTTTGGAGCAGGGAGTAATTAAGGTATCTGGCTGATATTCCACACTCAGAGGAAAGACAATACGGGCATATAATTAAGCTGCTACATGAATCATCATAAATATGAACGCTGCAGTGGCTGCTGAAGATTAGGACGTAGTGCATATGGGAATGTTTCAAGTGCTGTGATGTTGGTTCTCAACTCTCTTAACTTACGTCAGCCTAACACTTAATGGATACCAGAAAATATACAGGGTGGTAAAGGCAACCGGTGTAATATTGAGTGCATCTATAAGAGAGGCCAGATGTGCTTCAGTTATAATCTTGATTAGATTTTTATTATGACAGATCAAGACAGTATTTTTTTTTAAATGTTTTGTGGAATTGTGAATTTCATTTGCAAACCTATAAAGTTGATTTGCTAAAGAGTGAATCTGATTTGCAAAAAGGGGGGTGGGGGGGGGGGGGGGTTATTTGCATAAGGATGAATTTGATTTCCAAAAAGGATTAATTTGGATTGGTAATCCTGTATTAAAGTATGAAATATATAGTTTTTACATATTCTTGTCTATGACATATATGGTGTTATGCCATTTTCCTTACTCATTACCTTTGCTTCAAAGAGAAATATCCAGAAAATTGTCTAGTGCTGATTGTTATGAGACTGGTCAAACCCAGAGCTGTACCAGTTTTAACAAATTATCCTGCCCTTGCTGGGATGGAACCAGATCTCAGTTTTGGCAGCAACTAAGTTACCAAGGTTCCATGAAAATACAGACAGAAAAACAAGTGGAATCTACATTAAATATTTATACAGACATTTTAACACACATATGAAAATGCGGATACAAGAAAGAAAGAAAGATAGAAAGAAAGAAAGATAGAAAGAAAGAAATAGAGAGAGAAAGAAAGAGAGAGAGAGAGAGGAAGAGAGAAAGAGAGGGAGAAAGAAAGAAAGAAAGAAAGAAAGAAAGAAAGAAAGAAAGAAAGAAAGAAAGAAAGAAAGAGAGAGAGAGAGAGAGAGAGAGAGAGAGAGAGAGAGAGAGAGAGAGAGAAAGAAAGAAAAGAAAGAAAGAAGAAAGAAAGAAAGAAAGAAAGAAAGAAAGAAAGAAAGAAAGAAAGAAAGAAAGAAAGAAGAAAGAAAAAGAAAGAAAGAAAGAAAGAAAGAAAAAGAAAAAAGAAAGAAAGAAAGAAAGAAAGAAAGAAAGAAAGAAAGAAAGAAGAAAGAAAAGAAAGAAAGAAAGAAGAAAGAAAGAAAGAAAGAAAGAAAGAAAAAAGAAAGAAAAGAAAGAAAGAAAGAAAAGAAAGAAAGAAAGAAAGAAAGAAAGAAAGAAAAAAGAAAGAAAGAAAGAAAGAAAGAAAAGAAAGAAAGAAAGAAAGAAAGAAAGAAAGAAAAGAAGAAAGAAAGAAAGAAAGAAAGAAAGAAAGAAAGAAAGAAAGAACAATTGAACGAAAGAAAGAATGAACAAAAGAATGAACAAAAGAAAGAAAGAAAGAAAGAAAGAAAGAAAGAAAGAAAGAAAGAAAGAAAGAAAGAAAGAAAGAAAGACAGAAAGACAGAAAGACAGAAAGACAGAAAGACAAAAAGAAATGAAAGTACACTGACTCTTCAGTAGTTTCATGAACACAGTTTTTACAGACATACCTGGGAATCATCAGCAGAGCTACAGAGTTCATGCTTTGTGTGATGCTCCTGGCAAGTGGCTTGCTGTTCTGCTGAGAGAGACACAAGCCATGTGTGTGATGCTCTTGGCAGGTGGCTTGCTGTTCTGCTGAGAGAGAACAAGCCATGTGAGATAAAACCTAGTGCAATAAATTCAATCTTCTCTACTTTAACTTGTAAGTAGTTTCGTAATCATCTATAATTTTTTTTCAGACTGGCATTTCAAAATTGATGACACTTGAACAGGGTGATACTATAATTGTCAAGCTTGACCCTATCAAGGTACTTGTTTGTTATTTTCTGGCTTTGTTCTATAATTGTCAAGCTAGACCCTGTCAAGGTACTTGTTTGTTATTTTCTGACTTTAATCTATAATTGTTAAGCTAAACCCTATCAAGGTACTTGTTTGTTATTTTCTGGCTTTGTTCTATAATTGTCAAGCTAGACCATATCAAGGTACTTGTTTGTTATTTTCTGGCTTCAATCTATAATTGTCAATCTTGACCATATCAAGGTACTTGTTTGTTATTTTCTGGCTTCAATCTATAATTGTCAATCTTGACCCTATCAAGGTACTTGTTTGTTATTTTCTGGCTTTGTTCTATAATTGTCAAGCTAGACGCTATCAAGGTACTTGTTTGTTATTTTCTTGCTTAAATCTAAAATGTCAAGCTAAACCCTATCAAGGTACTTGTTTGTTATTTTCTGGCTTTTTTCTATAATTCTCAAGCTCGACCCTATCAAGGTACTTGTTCGTTATTTTCTGGCTTTCTTAATTTTATTGTAAATTTTGAGTTTATCTGAAAATTACATTTTCTGGTGCCAAGTTACAGTAGCATGTCTTCATGTTCCTAAACCGTACAATTTGTTTTACTTTCATTGTCTTATTTTCAGCGAGATGCTGATGTTATAACAGAAGTCAAGGAGGAATCTGTTCCAGAAATCACTCCTGTATACTTCACAAGCAAGTGTCAGAATGTAAAAATCTGGCATGAAACAGGAATTGTTGCGTGAGTAGTTGTTTGGTCAGTGAGAGTATCTTTCGTAATTACTCGCCTAGGTGATGTGATTATCTATACAGATGGCTCTATGTCAAAAGGTAGAGAAAATGCATGGGGTTTTATATGGGGTTTTTGTCTTATCTTGAAGTTTGACGTCTTTACTTCCTTGCATTAATACTTGCTTCACATTGTAGTTTTAGCGGTAACATCTTCTCAGATTGGTTTTAATAGTAATCTTGTTTTATTCTGGTTTTAAGAGTTATATATTTACATTCTGGTTTAGTTGTGACACCTTTGCATTCTGGTTTTTCTTTGAGGGGTGGGGGGGGGGGGGGGGTAACATATTTACATTCTTGTTCTTTTACTTATATTGTTACATTCTTGTTTTAAATGTGACATCTTCTTTTCGCTCCATATCTTCTTCATTTGCAGGTCTTAGTTTTCATGCTTTCTGTCATTCATTTGTAGCCAACGTTTTTTGCTTACCAGGCCTTTTCCACCTGTACGTTCCACCACGGTGGTTGCACAGATGTTGATGTTTTTTTTTTTTAAATTTTTTGTCTGGCTGTTTGGCACAGTGAATGCAATGTGTCAATCTGGCCTTTATTGGCCATATATTTGAACATGTGTCGGGGTTTAATTTATTTAACAGTCTGTTCCTTTAGGAGGAGATTTAGATTCCATGCCTGATATACATTGCTAGATCTCAGTACAATGTTAGTAGGATTATCTAATTATCCATAGTACAATTTCTGTCAGAATCACAACACAGATCAAAGCAACATGTGAAAGTATACAAATTACATATTGATTATATAAATAATTACATGACATATAAATATAAAATAAATAATTACTCTTAAAACTCAGTGAATACTATATATCCCAGTTATAACCCTGAGGGTTGAACAGGATATACTACTACTACTCAACAGATATTAAGAAGAAACAATTCTGTGCTCTGAAGATTGTTTTGACATGATTGTTTATTGATTAACCATAATGGATTGATATTTTCATTCTAACTTTTCAAATGTGCCATAATGCTTACATTTTTCATTTTCTCAGGTATACAAGCACTTCAGCAGCTGAACCTGTTGGCTTGTTTATTAGTGCAACCCAACTAACACCTGCATGTCCATCATTTTCCATTCGTAAGTTTCTTACACTACAATGCTTTTCATCACCAGAATTTAGTTTTAGTTTTTCCACTGCTTCATTGTAAAACAGTCACAAAGAAGCATAGGAACTCAAAGATCATGGTGTCTGTTTTTTTAAATATACTACTAACATTAACTATGAAGCCCCATGAAAGCTATTTGAAAAAAAAAAAAAAATTTCCATTAAAAGTGACAGTTTTACAAGGGTAACTAACAAATAACATATTTTAAAAATCTATCTAAACTTAATATATTTAGTTTAGTTTAGTTTAGTAGATAGGTCAACATCATGGCACATGGGTGTAACCCATAAGTGCTCCGTTATACTTCTCACTCAAGCCTGAGTTAGAAGTATCTCAGCACAGTGCATGAACTCTGTTACACTGGCGAGGATACTGAAATACTTTTGGTTAGATTATTAACTCCAAATCTGGCATGGGCAGCGCCGTTAGGCTGCTCTTTTCAATTTCCAACTGCCAAGGGATTTTTACACATCACACACCGGCATCAAATCTTACCACTCAGAGACCAGGGGAAATTACTAGAAGTCTGTGTGAAAAAATCACAGCACTTCACCAGGACTTGAACCTGGGATATCCAGCACTTGAGACGGATGCCATACCTCGAGATCACACTGCCCCCAGGAAAAATATATCCACCATGTTAATGACACAGTGTTAGTAAGATTGTCTAATTATTCATAGTAGAGTTTCTTTCATAATCACAACCTAAATCCAAGCAAAATGTGAAATAGTACAAATTATAATTTGGTCTTATAAATAATTACATTACATATAAATTTAAAATAACAAATATATGATTTGAGAACTCATGTAACAATATATATATCCCAATTATAACCCTCAGTGTTGGACAAGATATTTTTGAAAAATTACAACTACTACATAGCATTAACTTTGCGTCTTTTAAACATGTCACTATAGAAAAGTCAGAAAAGTGACATTTATGGGGAATAGAGCCGAATCAGAAGTGTTAAATTATCAGCTGCTTTGGGTGACAAGAGTTAATTGCTTCACCACCAGCAGCAGTTATTTTAACTTTTTCTATCTTTAGAATTGTTAGCTTAAAGCAATCAGTGCATGAGTTCACAGAAGTTAAAAATAATAACATGGACAGAAGCAGCTAAACTTACATGTAGGATAGCATGGGTTAATGTGTCGACTACAATATAAGAGAGTAAGAAAATTATAGTGTTTTTAGCCTTATCAATCAAAATATTGGGAATTGCATGGTATAAAAAGAGTTTAGAAAAGCCATTGTAACGGATATATGGCACTGGTACCAGGAAGGAGGGGCAGGGGCCGACCGACACAAAGATGGGCACAGGATATAAGTGACTCCTTGAGTGTGAAAGTGCATGAGGCAGGAGAACTGGCGAGAGACTGAGTTTCTTTCAGGCAATCTGTGATTAGAGTGACGTTCTAGATTTGAATCAGTATCCGGGCAGGTTTTTAAAATTTCCCTGGGCTTCTAGGCTAACCAAGACTTTGAATGAGTAACAGGAAGTTATCTGAGAAGAAAATGTAGCCGGCATGATACTGACCAGATTCCACATCAAGTGCCAATTAGTCTATAAAAAATATATGGTATACTGAACAAAATATGCATTCGTGTCTGGTAACTAGTATTTTAAGCAACAGTATCCCTTCAGGGTTATAACTAGGATATATATATATATATATATATATATATATATATATATATATATATATATATATATATATATATATATATATATATATATATATATATATATATATATATATATATATATATATATATATATATATATATATATATATATATATATATATATATATATATATATATATATATATATATATATATATATATATATATATATATATATATATATATATATAAATAATTTTTACTTTTCAGAAATGGATATTTATGCCTGTCAATTGTATTTGGTTATGTATTAATTGTATAACATTGTTGCAGTACAGATTAAGTTCAGTATATTTTAAGTGTACTTTCAAAAAGTTAATTCATTATTTAGTTCTCTTTAAGCTATCTACTGCAAGCATGTTTTCTGTTGTCATTGTTTATTTATTTTATTTACTGACCTTTAGAGAATGCAAACAGTTTATCAGTTCTGTATAAGTGGTGTTCTTTTAACATTGTGAAATCATTTAGTTCATATGCAATTAATTGGAAAGTTTTAGAATAAAATTATGTTCGGTGGGTAAAATAGAACTCTGCATTATTCCATAGGTACTGGTGTCAGTATATAAAAACCTTGCTTGTACTGGCACTGTTCTAGGTAGAAGTGTACCATCTGGCTTGTCAATTATTGTAACAATAGTTTCTTTCAGGTAAAGCACTTAAAATGATTTCAGAAACTAATTAAAAATATATTACATGCATAACTGTTTTCCAAACTATCTATTTAATCATTTTTTTAAAAAATAAACCAGTTTTTTTCTCTAGTGCAGGGCTGTTCAACTGGTGGCCTGCAGGCCCAATCTGGCTCACAGAGGTCTAGCAATGGCCCATGGATCATTGCCATTTGTATTGTATTAATGATCTTTCTATGCTGGTCCTGGGGTCATTGGCCCGTGACGATCCCCATTTAAAGAAATGTTGGCCTGTGAGTAAACCTAGTTGAATTGCCCTATTGTAGTGAGATGCATTACATTAAAATTATTGGCTCTCCTAAAAACTTCGTCCTCATATTATGGCGGTCAAACAAATACCCTAACAGGGCCTCAGTCATGTGTAAAATGCGGAGTGCCTGCCGAGGAACAAATCGCGGCAAAACTAGGATCGCTTCCGAATAACAGGCCAATATTGTCGTGGGCAAATAAATGCTCTAACAGGGTCTCAGCGATATGTTAATTGCCGACCTGTTTCTGCGACTATGCCACACCGCCGACAGTACCCCCAGCTCCGCTACACACGGCTCGCATTAGTGGCTAAACTAGATGGCTGGGACTCATGAACAAATAAATTGGAGGAAGTTGCAGGAGATGTGGTAGTTGCTGCTCGTGAGTCCCAGCCATTTAGTTTAGCCCTCAGTCTGTGACAATAGGCTCGTCGGTGAGTTTAATTGGAAGAACACTATCGCTAACCTGTGTCGGAGCGCGTGGTCTCCCCACCACATTGCTATTATCGTGTGTATTGTTGTGTTTCTCAAAAGTGTCAACGGACAGTAATCCTAGTTTTGCCGTGATGTGTTTGTCGGAGGAAGTCCACATTTTACACACGACTGAGGCCCTGTTAGGGTATTTATTTGGCCACCATAATATGGGGTTGAAGTTCGAAGGAGAGCCAAATTATTATATCTAAACTAATTACTTTAAAAATGATGCAGATTAATTATTCTGCTGTTTGCATGTACAGAAATTCTCAGCCATGGCAAGAGAGGAAATATAGCAATTGGGGTATGTCACAAGAGAATTTCTTATGATGGTCCTCCAGGCTGGACCTTCGACTCACTTGGATACCATGCTGAGGAAGGAGGGTAATCATTGTTTTTTTTTTCTGTGTTACTATTATGTTTGATAAAATGTTTGCATCTCTATAACTCATACATCACTGAAGACTGGTAAGTAAGGTTCATAATTTAGGAAACAACTACTTTAGACAGACATTCTATTACATCCAAGTTTATGTTTCTAAAGGAAATGGGTTGAACTGTGGTAAAGCAGTGAAAATTGTAATACATGTGAAAACATTAAGCATATGCCAGTTTTATAAGATTACAATGTGGGATGCAATTTTTAATTATTTTGAAGCCTTATCCTGGCTTTTGCTGGGGGCCCTAAATATAGCCGGGCCTCAAATATGGCCTAACGCCTGAAC